TTTACCCAAAAGGAAGGAAGGTGCAAGGAGTGCATAGCAGAAGTAGCTGAAACAGAGAGAGGAAAGGGAGAAGATGTTGTCTGTTTGGGAGGGTTTAGGACAAGCATGTCCTTCTATTGTCACTCGCTAAAGTATCCTCAGTTGATGGAGAGGCTCCTTGGTGAGAGAGGCTTTCCAATGCTGACCCTCAGTGGAAAATGAGACTTGTGTGCTGATTGATTATGTGTCATCAAGTCAGTGTTGACTCTTTGTAGCCACATGGAGATCGATTTTCTCCATGATTATCTGTCCTCAACTTGGTCCTTCAGCTCTTCCAATGGTGCACTCATCACCAGTGCAACTGAGTCCACCCACCTTGCTGCTGGTCATCCACTTATTTTCTTTCCTTCCACCTTTCCAGCATTAGAACCTTCTGCAGAGAACTGGGTCTTCACATAATGTGTCTGAAGTAGGATAACTTAAGCCTGGTCATTTGTACCTCAAGTGAGAACTCTGGATTGATTTATTTGATGAGCCATCAGTTTGTTTTCTTGGCTGTCCACAATATTCTCAGGAGTCTTCACCAACACCAAAGTTCACAAGTTTCAATACTCCTCCTATCCTGTTTCTTCGAAGTCCAATTTTAGCTTCCATAGTGTGTCACAGGGAATACCATGGTTGCAGGATTCTGATCTTTGTAGGTATAGACCCATCACAGGATTTAAATATCTTTTCCAAGGCTTTCATGGCTACTCTACCAAGTGCTAGTCTGTGGTGTATTTTTTGACTACTTGTTCCTTTACTATTAATGGTTGATCCTAAAAGGAAGAAGGTATCCACCACTTCAATATCTTCATTGTCAGTTCTATAGCTGGTTGTTCTACCTGTTGTCATTACTTTGGTCTTCTTTATATGTAGTCCCATTTTTTCACTATGCTCCTTGACTTTTATTACTAGACCTTTGCATTTTCAGCTATCAGAGTATGTGTGCTGATTAGAAATCCTGTCTGTATTTATTTGGGAATGTATTGACTACACAATAAACATGCATACATTTCCTTGCATGGTCTCTATCAACCAATTCGTTTTTTGCAAACAGAAATGTAAAAATGACTCAGTATTTCATAGATTTCTGCCACAATTTCTCCCTCAGCCAGGCAAAATGGATCATCAGATCCAGTTTAGCAGCTATATCTACATTGCCTTCTGGTAATGAGGCCAAACTTATTATAATGCACAGGTTTATGCATGATGAACCTACGTTTCTACAGTCTCTCTGTATTTGTAAAAGAGACCATTTTGGTATGTATATTTTTCCAGATGGAGTGCCATATTTTATAAACCATTAATTTTAATCCTTAATAAAATTTAATTTTTGTCCTGTCTGGCTTCGTAGGAGTATGTGTATGTCATTTATTTATGTATGCATTTGCTAGATTTATGGCTTGTCTTTCTCCAGCACTTCTGGGTGGCAAACTTAGCATTCCCACCATTGTGCAGTAAGTCACAACTGGCTCGGTCACTGGCATTTCTGTGGCTGAAGTTAGACTTGGATCCAGATCCAACCCTTTAAACACTACCCCACACCAGCTATTTGTACACATGCCCACAGCTGTATGCACCCATATGTTGGGAGGAAAATATCTTCCAAACTGATTTCTGTGGGATTTGGCAACTCCATTTGACAGGATAGGAAGGCAGGTGGTATATAGAATATTTTACATATGTTTATGTCTGTCCTCCTTTTTTTGCCCCTATCTAAGCTCTCTTTAGATGGGGAGTTGTCTTGCATTCAGGATACTTTTCCTTTGCGGGGAAAATAGCAAGAAAGTACTAGAAGACGGTATCGTTGTCATCTGTTTTCAGCTTAAAATAAAAAGGAATCAACAGTAAAGTTGCTGCTGGGAACAATTTAGGGAATGGCATCCCTTTCTTATAGGTGGTTACACCTAGCCAACTTTGGTTGATCCATGTCCATGTGATCATCAGGAGTTGAGCTCTGAATACGTTGACGTGGTCACTAGGAGCTGAGATCGACCTGAGTCTTGTACTCCATTTTTCTGGTAGGCCACATCTTTTGATCAGTGGTGCTTGCAGTAAAAATGGTAGCCTCCTGACAGGAATTTGATGCTACACGGTCAGAAAATTTAAAAAATGCTTTGTAGGGCATGGATTGTAAGCTCTTTAGCAACAGATGCCCACCTGAAAAACAGGTGAGACAGAAGGGCCCTCTAAGAGGTAAATCTTTTCTTCTTTCTCATCTTTTTTAAAGCAAGGAGCCTTCCTAAATATGACTGAGCAACTTGTCTGGATGCCTAGTGAGAGGCCACAAAGCAGCTTCCTTTGTCTTCCTGTTGACAGACACTTTTTAGCAGAGCAAAAAATTCCTCACAAATACCAACAAGAGAAAAATCCACCTGGGAGACACTAACAAAGACCAGGAACCTTTTTAATACAGTGATGAATGGAGCTTTCAGTGACTTGTGTAGAAATAAAGCTTGATTTTCCTGGTGTCAGTTTCTGATTGGAAACCCTCGGTGTATCCTGCTTGTTCACGTGGGATTTCTCGGGAAGAGCCAGAGGTGCTGAATGGAAGATTGTTTTTCCATGCCAAAGTTTTATTACTTTGCTTGGGTCCCAAAGGCAACATTTCTTTTTTCATAGATGCTCCCCTTGCCACTTATTCATCACATTCTTTCTTTGAACGTCAGTCTCCATACATCAGCACTGTCTCAGAATATTAGTTTTATATATTCAAAGCACTGATTGTTTAGCCATATGCTTTTAGAGAAGCATACTCCATTAATGTGCCTTTGAAAGAGTCCTCCAGGAGTCTTCCACATAACCCAGAGCTCATATGGGTTGGGTTCACACACGTGTTAAACACCAGAACCTCATCTCATAACTAAAATCAAAATTTCATAACAAATATACCATGTTAGGACTTAATGTGGCGGTCTGGTTCACACAACACGCTAACACAATGGTTGAGTTTTCACAATATGCTTTTCTAAACCACAAACTACCCACCCCGTTTTAGCCTACAAAGCAAGTGGCTAGATGGTATGACGCCAGATCAGCCAAACTAACAGTGGGTCTCCTTTAGACAGAAGAACTTCTCAACCATTCCTGATTCACTCTCAGATCTTCAAGGTCCAAAATACAATGTCCCTGTTTGTACTCCAGTTTCAAAATCATAGGATTCAAAGAGGCATTCAACTAATTCCAATCTGTTTTCAGTGCAGGATGCCACAAAAGAATTTTTCTCCCTCTCCTCATTTACACAGACTAGTTCTATTCCTTCCCTAAAGCCTGTCCCATTACACTGTAAGCCAGAAATTCAGTTCACACCACCCAAACTTACTAGATCTCTCCATTACCCACATGAGCTGAAAATAATTGCATTTGCACAGAATGTAAAGACCCAGCCAAGATATTCATACAATATGCTAAGCTCGATTAGTGTTAATTTCGACTAGGTGTTTGTATATGTGGGTTTCCTAAGTTCTGTTTGTTTTGTGACTTAGTGTGTTGTATGAGCCCAATGCCATCTGTTGGTTTGTAATTTCATATGTTGTGCAAACCTCAGCAATGAGTTTATTGAATAATCAAGTTTAGAGTATGGTGTGAGTGCAGAGGACATGGCCAATGTTTTCATGTGGTTGTTAGTGTAGGAGAACACCTTGGGTGTGAAACTATCTTTTAAGGAACAGGCAGATGAATCTAATCCTCCAACCCCTTTTTTCCAACCACCGGATTGTCCTCTGACCCCACCATAAAATTTTAGTCACTGGAAATGGCTTGTCCCATTTTTAGTCAGGTAATGCATATGTACATACATACATACTGTATAATAATATAGGCTTAACATGGTTTTAAAAATCAACTAAATCCCTTAACCTCCATCCTATCCCAAATACCCTGAAAAAAAGAAAATTCCATCCATTGCAGCCTTGCCTATTCTGGCAGAAGGTTGCCCTTCCTTGCCTTAGGGCCAGGAATGTGTGTCTTAAGATCCTTTCCTCCCAAGTAGGGTTGCAGGTGGGGTGTTTAAGCAGGTTTTCTACTGTTTAGCCTTTTCTCGTAGTCATGGATGGAAAGAGAGATCTGTCTTCTTCACCTGTCTCTGCCCTCCGCCAAACACCAGTTTCAGGCAGTGTAGTCACATCAGTCATAACTCTGCACTTTGAACAGAGGACTAGAAGGTTGGTGGGGGTCTGCCTGTCCCATACACTTACAGGTCTCCTCCCATTTCCTGCTACTGTTTGAACAGCCTTCCCTGAACTGGGGTCTTCCAAATGTATAGGACTATAGTTCCCCTCATGCTAGTGATCATGCTGGCAGGGAATGATGAGAGTGAAAGTTTAACACTTCTGGAGACCACAGTTCCAGAAGTTATACAGTAAGTTATCTCTCCCAAGTGTCCTGGGCAATGTAGTTTTGTTGCTGAATGATGAAACTGTCAGGAATCAGCTAATGGCTGGAAGATTCCTAATTTAGCTTGGGGGGAACTCCTTAGGACAGAAAAGCAGAAATGCAGAGAATGTAAACAAACATCCATCATTTCAATACTATGTGGGCTAGAGATGAGATGAAATCCAAGTCTCCTAAGAAGGCAGCTATGCCAGAAAGCATAAAGAGTTTGAGACTTGTATGGTATAAATTCATAACTACCATTCCTGTTTGCTAAATGCCTGTCAAATCATCTATTATGGCTCCATTTTCTAAAATGCAATAAAAATTGAGTTTCTAGCTGTATTTGTCTCTCTGGAAGCCCGTCAATAGCAGCATTTTTCTACTTCAGACCTTCCCCAATCTGGCGCCCTTCAGAATTCTTACATTACAACTTCCAAGACTCTTGAAAGGTGCTGGGTTCAGAAGGCCATACTACTACTTCTAATACATCACTTTGTGAAGAGGGTTTCCTATCTCTTCCTGCAAGCAAGTTGCCAGTGTTTTTTCCCATTAGTTCTTCTGCCAATGTTAATTTTCTTGATTATTATTCTTTTTTCACCCTGCAGGTATGGAATGAATTGCCTTATTCAGTTTGAAGACTTTGCAAATGCCAACGCATTCCGGCTTCTCAACAAATACCGCAACCGCTATTGCACTTTCAATGATGACATTCAGGGTAAGAGTTCCAAGTATTCATTTATGAGATTGCATGGAGTTTTCTGTAAAGCTCCTTTGCAGCTGATTCTTTGTCAACATGTTCTACTTACCTCTGAAGTTCTTCTGGACCTCCCCTGGAGGAAATTTGCAAGGGATAAGCAGAGGTGTTACTTTGTTTTTGTTGAGTGACATATTCTGGCAATTCATCCCAGCCTTGAGTAAAGTTCCATAGAGATATTTGGAGATGTTCTTTACAACAGGAGGCAGCAAGTTATAAAAACCTGGAGTAGGAAGAACTTGTTTCCTCACAGTTGGAAGGAGATTTTACCTTCATGAATACTTGCATGTTGAATCTTTCTCCTTCACGTTTTATTCATTTTCCCTGTACAAAAATTGTTTCTCATTTCACTGATGATTTCCTTCATCACCCCCACTTTCTGTTCTCTAGTGAAGCTGGCAAAAACAGAACTCATGTCATTTTTACTGAGGCTGAGAGATTTACCTGGCCTCTGTTCTTTGTTGCTGCTCTTCCAAGTTTTTGTTTCTTCTTCAAAACAAAATATGCATGACTACTGCTAAGTATGTCAACAAGAAACTGTTAGGGAAATTGACAAGGCCTCTTCACTTTTGGTGAAGATTGTGGGGAAGAAATGAACATAAAATTGAGCTGGAGTTGGTAAAATATCAAAAAAATCTCAGGTGAAACATGGTTTCTGTTGACTTCATAGATATCTGCATCTAATTTTCTTGGCAACACAGAACAGCTTAGCCAAACCTAGATTGCTCCAGAATTGTAGATTTTGCACATATCTACTGTTCAATGTTTTATTTTTTTTAGATCAGCCCAGGGTATGGAATTAGCCATGTATGTCTATTGATAGGCCAGTAAAGAGAAATGTCAGCTGGGAAAAAGAATATCTTGTCCCACACTTGATTGAGGGGGTGTTAAAGTAGGAAAAGCATAATTTGTGGACAGACCTCCATTAAACAAAGTGGAGAAGAATTCCCAAGAAACGGTTAAAAACATTGATTCTAGACTTCTCTCTCACAAAACTGATGTAAGACTTTAGTTCTAAACATACATATTTGGCAATGAAATTAAAATGACCAATGGAATAAATGGGTTGTTAACTTTACTTAGTATCATTGATTAAGAAAATCTTGAAGTAAATGTTTTTTG